ATATATATATATATATATATAGAAGAGGCAGTAAACACAAAATTCCTTGGCTTACACATTGATAATAATTTAAAGTGGAAAATTCATATCAATTGGTTGGTTCCAAAGCTAAGTGAAGCATGTTATGCAGTTCTATGTCACATATCAGCAACATTAACACTCTTCAAATCAATTTATTTTGCTTGCTCTCACTATTTAATGAAATATGGAATAGTTTTGTGGGGTAATTAATCTGACATCAAAATGGTGGTTACGTTACAAAAGAAAATTGTTGTACTCGTGGTGGTGGCGGCCATAATTCTTGTAGAGGTCTATTTAAGAGACTAGAGACCTTTACTTTTCCATGTGAATATATATTTTCATTAATATAGTTTCATTACAAATAATGAACATTTTCAACAATTTGCAGATGTACACAATGTTAACACAATGTTAACACATAAGAACTATCTCCATAAACCAACTGCTAACCTATCATGCTCTCAGAAAAGCACATATTATGCTGGGATCAAAATATTCAATACTTTCCCATCTGATCTCAGAAGTGTTATGAATGAAAAGCATTATTTAAAATAGCACTAGAATTTTGTTTAAACACACACTCATTCTACTTGGCTAATGAATATTCATTATCAAAAAAGTGCCTCATCTTCTTGAAGGTTGTGTAAATAGCATAAGTTGACAGTATTGATGTATAATATATGTGGTGTATTTTTGAATAGCCTCATGTATAACTGTTATTTTCTTGTGTGAAAACTTCAGTTGTGCTGTACATATGTTTTTTATTTAAATGACATATACCACATCCTACAGTCGTTTTGACTATCTTTGAATGCAGGTAATGCAATACAGTGTAATGTAATGTAAAGCCAATCCCATCATTGTGATGTGATGATTAGCCCTCTGCTTTATACATTATTCAGAAACCTTAGGGACATAGTCTGTACTGTTTTGTAATAAAATCAGGTGGAATGGATTGAGACACGCTTCTCAATAATTAGAGACATTAAAGCAGTGTTTACAGATTCTGAAAACAATCTCTATGAACATATCCAGGTGCTTGAAAACTTTCAGATTACAGCACATATTTCTTCATATTTGTAATTCAAGTATTTAGCTGATATAAATTTTTCTTTCTTCCTTGCCCTCTGATGTAGAAGATCTCCATCTCTTTCAGCCCTAGTCATAACAAAAATTCAACTGGTAAGCTTAAGTAAAAAGGAAGTTTAATGCATATTCCCAGGATTTTTGTCCCTCCACCTATTCAGTAGATAACCCAGAATTATTATTCTTTACAGGCCAAGTAATTATTAATCTGAAAACATTGCCTTATAACAGAACAATTAATTGCTGCAGTTTGAACTTAAAAAAATTACAGGCAAGGTTTGTAAAAAAGCACCTGCTCTATTAAATGCCACAAATGCTGTGTTTTGTGTAGGTTGAGATTCATTATACGTGGTACAGTCATTAATTTCGTGGACTGTGGCTTTATCGCGTCATATTACAAGGTATTCACATACACTTACACAGATCCACATTGACCCTCAAAATAGTTGCCGTTGGCCGCTATGCAAGTCTGCCAATGTTGATATAGCTGCCGAAGACATTGCTGAAACATATTGGTGAGAAATTCCTGTACGGTTCCTCTTGTGGCATTGACTACCTCCTCGGATGACTGAAATCTACGACCACGTAGCTTTGTTTTCACGCAGTGAAAGAGGAAGAAATCGCATGGTGTGAGATCAGGTGAGTACGAAGGGTGTGGCAAAACGGTGACCTGTTGCCTTGCCAGTTCCTCTTGGACAAGAGCAGAGCGATGTGCAGGGGCATTGTCGTGTAGCAACAGCAAATTCTTCCTATGCCAAATGTTTTGCTGGGGGATTTGCCTAGTTCCTGGCAGAACTTGATGTTTGCTCGTTCTTCAAACTGCCACATTTTCGATTTCCGCCACTCGCATGTGACTGCAGTTCACAATAGAGGCTGTAGTTCTGCTTACACTGTTTGCACACAAGTGCCTCTTACTGTAACAAGAGATGAACTAACAGGGCCCCAACCTATCTGCTGTAGTGTACTGCAACGACGCTTTGCAGCCAGTCCACGAAATTATTGACTGTGGTGGTAGTATTTCCGAAAAAAGAAAAGATAAGAAAATTTGCTTTGCAGATTGAAGTCGTTTAATAGAATCATTATGGCAAAACGACCAGCGGAAGGAGATGGCAACACAAGTGGACAGCCACCTATTAAGAAAGTACAGTTTGAACCCATACGAATTGGACCTATATCAACCTTAGAAGAAATGGATATGAAAGTTCTTCAGTTCCAAAACAAGAAATTAGCTCAAGTAAGTAGATACCTATACATACACATCTGATGTTTTTGGAATTATATATATATATATATATTCATTTCATCAATTACCATAAACTTACATATGTTTTGCTAGAACTTTATAACACTTGCCTTTGACATGCCTACCCATCGACCAGTAGCAACTTCAGAACATCTGAATGGCTTTTCATGAAGTTTTCTGTTGGGAGTTTTACTAACACTTGTCAACATGTTTCAGCCTCAGCGTTGGCATTCATGACTTACAAATCTAGAGACAGTGACAGGCAAATATGCCAGAATTGTTATTCTTTGCATACATTTCCTATCTTATTTCATCTGCTGTACAAACTACCATACACATGTGAGATTGAGATTCTTATGGTGGCGACTACGAAGGTTACTGCTGCAGGGGGCATGACACCATGTAGTCTATTAGGAATTTACCAGTGTTTGGGAGGAATATGCTGCTTCCATCTTCAGGATAGAATAGTAAGCTGAGCTGGGAAAGTGATCTGCATACAAGGAGAAGGATGATTGGAATTGGGGCCCTGAGTGAACCAATAAGATCAGGTTCTTCAAAAACATTAGTAAACTTCTCCCGCCCTACATGATTGACATCCCAGTAGACATAATCTTCATTACCATATTTGGTGTGGCAGTTTAATTCCTGGAATGGCCCTGTTGAAGCAGAATTTGCTTACTTGTGCACTAGTGGCTGCTGTCACCTTCAAAATACTGTAATGTGCATATCCAAACCGTCATTTCCTAGACAACAATCCACATTCCCACTACAACGCTACAATTGGAATGTACCCAGTCCCAGACAACAGAAGCAACGCAATATCGTAATTCTAACAATGAGTCTCCATGACAAAGGGAAAACTAAACAATGGGAAATGGTGTCTGGTACCCGGTCTGCATAAGGTCTGTATAAAGGGGCTGAATATATCAGATATCCCTGACCCGAGTTGAAATATAGCCGCCGCAGAATCCAAGGTAGGAAGACAAGAGTCTAGCATTTGCCCCCACTAAGCGAATTAAAAAAAAATTAGCCAGGAACTTGCGAACTCTTAATGGATCATGCACGGGAGCATTGTTATGGTGGAGAATTCGCTTATCAGGCCAGAGTTCGGGTCTTTTCCTCCAAACAGAATCCTGTAACCTTGTCAAAATTTCCAAACAATGCTGTTGATTCACTGTTTGCCCTTGTGCAATGCATTCGTAGTGAACTATCCCCCTGTGATTGAAGAAACACACAAGCATGGTCTTGAGCTGTGAGTGAGACATGCAGGCTTTTTTCATCCAAGGTGAATTCTGTGTTTTCCACTCAATGCCCTGGCATTTTGTTTCTGGGTCATATTGAAAACACCACATTTCATCACTGGTAATGACCCCATTAAACATCTCTGTATTGTGTAAAAGATCAGATGAAATGTGAAACTAACGTTTCTGGTCATCTTTGCAGATTCAAGGCACCATCTTTGCAGAAATTGTTCTTGTTCCAGAATCATCCATAATAATGTGTTGCATTGTTTCCCTAGTCATATTCAATTCTTCTGCTTAGTCTCACACCTAATCTTCAATCTGAACACACCAAGGTTTGTACTCTGTCCACATTTGCCTTTGTCCTTTGTGTTTTTGGCTACCCACTTCTTCGGTCATCTTGCATGTCTTGCCCTTTCGTGAACTGCCTGTGGCATTTAAGAACACTTGATTTCTTCATAGCATATTCACCATAAGCCACTCTTAATAGGGCTAACTTTTCACTAGCACTTTTACCAATCTTCACACAAAACTTGATGTTTATCCACTGCTCAGTATTGTTGTCAGCCACTTCTCCGCCAACAGTATACCACAGACATGTACTGCTTCCTCTGCTGCTTGGGAATGAATGGCCCATTTGGTCTGTGGCTCATGTAAATCAAGTTGGAACATATCGAAACGTGCTTGGGTACATGAGTTTGCCTGACTGAACACCCCAGCGAGACACTGCGGCCATTCTGGAAATTAAATTGTCGCTCCTTGTACATATAATTTATTTTGTGACTAGTGGTTCTGTTTTGTGTACTAACATCTCAACACTTAAACATTGTAAACATACAAAATACAAGATTCAAGAAGCCCATGCAAATAAGCCTTTCCCATGAGCATTATTAACAGCTATTGACAGAGACTATTGTTGGTAGAATTAAGAGTTACCTGCACCCAGGTGTGTGACACTCATGATCTCGTACAATATCACTACAGTTTTACTGTATAGAGAGGTATTCTGAATTCTTGTGCATGTGAGTTAAATAACAAAGCATTAAAGTTAATTTGGAATTGATGTGGATAAGATCAAGTAAGGACATGTCATTGGGGATCCAAGAAACAAACACAAAATTCTGATTTGAAAACAGGAGAAGTTCAAGAGGATAATATTAAAATTACTGTCAGAGAGGTACATTACAAAGATATGAACCAGACCGAATTAGCTTAGGACAGGATCCATTGGTAGCTTTGTGTGTACACAATGCTGAATCTTTAGGTTTTATGAAAGCAGAACATTTCTATTCAGTTGTCCAGATTAACTCAAAATGAAAGACCCTGTGCCATGTTGTTTGCATTTCGTGTCTGTGATGGAATTTGTAATAAAATTAGGCTATAATATGACAAAGTCCATTTTATTCTGTGAGAAGAAGATACAGTGAAGCCTGCATGTAAGATTCCTTTAGGGAACTAAATTCCAAGTTTTATCTGCTTTGTAGACAGTGTGCCATTCCTTCAAAAACTTGCATAGTTGAAAAACAGTTGTCTGGTGGTCTTTCAAGTCAGCATGTATAGGAATCATTTAATTTACTTGTTAAGAGAAAGAAGGTGCAAAACTAATACTTTGTTGCATTTGTGTGTGTGTGTGTGTATGCTGATTTAGCGCCTGGAGCAGCGACACCGACTAGAAGCTGAACTTCGTCAGCGTATTGAACAATTGGAGAAACGACAAACCCAAGACGATGCTGTTCTTAATGTTGTAAATCGCTATTGGAATCAACTAAATGAAGACATACGAGTCCTCCTACAGCGATTTGATGCTGAAACAGCAGATGAATCTGAAAATCGAAGTATGTTAAGAAGTTTGTTATGCACTTTTCCACCAAATATTTACCTCAAACTTTGTATCTGTTCTTGTTACATTGTAGTGTAAATAATAATACTTGGGACATGCTTCATATCTTAAATGTAGCAGCACTAAGAAGCCTTTGGGTGCACTTACCTTCTAAATGCTGTTCTTCAGCAGTCACACAATTCTGTCATTGTTTGTACCATCATCTGAAAACGTTTCTGGAGGCCACAGTACATGATCTTCTATGTAATCTTTGACTCCCACCGTATCCTTGAAGTGAGAGACTTTCAAGCATTCCTTCATTTGCATAGCAAGATTAAATCACAGTGTGGTAGGTAGCATGACAGTACCACATTGTTGAAGTACTACTGCACGGGGAGCAGTCGATATGTTAGGACATTGTCATACAGTAGCACTCAGTCTTCAGTTTTCCCCATTTTTGGATGCTTCCTTTAGGCAGTTGAGCACCTTCTAGAGCCCTCCTTATTGACAATATCACCCTCAGAGATGAGCTTGCAATTCAGTCTGCCAGTCAGAAAAGACTTCCAATGTCACCTTCCATTTGTATTCCTGCCAGTACTCCCAGTGATGGCAAATTCCACTTATGTTGTTTACTTAAGTTGAATCTTTTCAGAGCTACCATATGTTAGTAATATCAGCTGAATGAAAGAGGGAGCTCTTGAAAAGTAACAACACAAAGCCCTATAATTCATGTAACAGTATCACAAAAATGCTATAGAAAAGAACCCTCATTTCATGCAATGGTTTTTCATTTGTAAAACTTTAAGAAATTGGTCTTAGTGGATTTGTCACTGTAATGAAGACCTCATTGTAAGCCATAACATCCTCTGTTGCATTTCCACTACCTCAATTAAACCATGACCACTTCCAAATCCTTTCCAGTTCATTATTCACCAATCATTGTACCATCTGATACCATGTAATCTGAGATACTGACAGCATCATAAAGTAAACCACAAACAAACTGTATATGAGAATTGTATTCCTTTACAAAACCAGCCTATCTTTATCATCTAAATAAATTGTATATTCCTATTTAAGACCATGTTCTGAACTGCCAGATATGTAGTTAATTGATGTCTATCAGACTGTCTTGAAGAACCTGAACAGATGGAACTCATGATTGAGAGATCAGGAATGAGGACTATAACTGAGCCCCAGCATCTGGCTGATTGTAGGGTGTAATGTGTTATTTTGTTGCAGAATGTAGAGTTCTCAAGTATTATAATTACATAACTTTACCAAGTACCTCTACCATTGCAATGCTAATAGTTACCTGTCTTGTAAGAAGATTAGTTCTGATTCTGGAAACCTTTGCACTAACAAGCCTATTAGATTGGTTCAACATATATCTGCCACAGCTTAAGAGATTGGTTTGATGTTAATCACTTAGTGTAGCATTTCTGTCAGTAGGTGACATCAAGTGTGTTATCTTGATAGATGCAGATGACACTAGTATAATATTTAAGAACTCTAAATTTGACAACTTTAAAAATGACATAAATATTGTATTTGAAGCCTTAAACAGATGGTTCGAAGCCAATTTACTCTCATTAAATTTTGATAAAACCCATTACATATCATTCACAACTAAAAACAACCACCAAATTGATCTGGACATCAGTTATGCCAACAAATTAATCTGTAAAGTACTTGATACAAAATTCCTTGGAATACATGTAGACAGTACACTGTCTTGGAAAATACATATTGAACAAATTATACCTAAATTAAATGCAGCTTGCTATGC